GTTACATTTGTTAAACAGTTTACAAGCATGAAAACTTTCCAATCAACTGTTGTTATAAACAGCCTCCTGGTGCTTCGGAGCTCATTAACTGTTTAATAATTGTAAACAAAACCGCCAAAGATTGAGAAAAGATATACAGGTTCGTAAGTGCTTGAGTAACTGTTTCGTGAATCTCGCCCCAGATGGAGCAGAAGCACCGGGAATAGAATTAACATCATCATCATGACTGTTGAAGGAGGCTTCTGTGGTAATTTATCGCCTGTTAACTAAAATTAAATATCACTCGAGATAGATCTCTCAGAAATAGGGAAAAGTCGTAAGTAGTTCGAATTCAAAAACAAAAAAGGCTTGACAAACAAGAAGCTAATATTATAGACAAATTCGATTGATGTGCATTGTTTGTAGAATGCAGCACTATGCCACACTACACCGCCCCCAGCCACACCACACCGCCCCCAGCCACACCACCTTTCCCTACACTGTGAGACAGGGGTACCAATAACCACACAGGGGCCACGATTCAACAAGCATTTACCCAAGTACTGACGAACTTGTGCATCATTTCTCAATCTTTGGCGGCTTTGTTTACACATATTAAACAGTCTACGAGCATCCACAGTTCCCAATCAAGTGTTATTATTGTTATAGACAGGCTCCTGATCCTTGGAAACTCATAAACTGTGTAATATATGTAAACAAAGTCGCCAATGATTGCGACAAGATGTGCAGGTTCGTGAGTACTTGCGTAGCTGCTTGGTGCATACGGCGGTTGTCTCCACAGCTTGTGTGATGACATGGTTGAGGATAACAAGGTGACGAATGGCAATTAATCTCAAACTTACGGTCGTATGATCGCTCACAGGTCGCCCGACCCCGCTGGGCAGCATCGGACGGTGGTGAACTCTTCATAGCCTCACACAGACTTTTCCAAGAGTGTCTTGCTCTTATATTCCACACACTAACAACTCACGCGGTGCACTGTGGTTGTTAACAACATGAATGAACAGCTAAGGCAGCACGAGAGCAACAGCCTATGACAGAGCGTTGAGGGCTCTGACGTCACATGTTTATGTGTGCGCGCGCACGTCATTTAAAATAATCACTGATCAGTCACCACAAAGACACGATAGGGAGATAACGTACGAGGTTGTTCTGTCCAGCTTAAACGGACTTTATAACACATGCAAACCAGTGATGATTTAGCAGTGTGACAACACAACCTGGCCACATCCAGGCCTGTGACCAAATGATAGCTATCCATACACACGAAGAACAATCATCAAATTAAAAAATTAAACTAAGCTCTGATTACACCAAACATCTGTCGATATTTCAACAAATTTAATAGATGTGTTTACCAACAATACATTAGTATTAAGAGTATTTCTAAAAATAAACAATAAAAAGCTATTGCAAGAAACAATAAAGAAATAAAGGTAACATAACATAGCAATAATTAACCACATTAAATACTGTAATCTTAAAATATTGCAGAAAATATGACTTGATATACAAGTATCTAGTTAAATAAATATACATATATATGTATATTTAACTCTTTCACCAAATATTTGGCAATGTTTATTTTTTCTTAATGTTACAAATACAATTAATTAAGGGAATTACTGGTTTACAAATGTTCACATTTTGTGTGCATTGGACTCTGTAGGTTAAGGGAGGAGGTGCTTGGATTTGTAGGTTTCTGGTTAGCTAATTAGAGTGAAAGGTTTTGTATTTGTTTACACCGTGGGGAAACGAGAGAGAATAGGTTTCACCAATACCACTATCCTCCCTCACTGCCATCACTACCCTCCCTCACCACCACTATCCTCTCTCCCACAACCACCTCTGCTCTCTCCATCACGTCACCCGAGACTCGTGCTAGGCTTCCCAAGTTAGCTGACAGAGAGCCTAGCCATTGGTTGTGAACCCTTCCACCCACTCACCCCCACCCCCATCCTACGTTCCCGCTCACCCTCCGAGGTCCAAATTTTGACTCCCCTTACGCGTACAATGTGTTAAAATTCCCTGAGTGCCTCGTTATACCGTTGGAGCCATTGACTAAAGTGCTTCTATTTCACATATCTCCAGCGGGAATTTGGCTGTTGAGTTCTTCTCTTTACGATGCGGCCATACGATGTAAAGTCATTTTGCTTGAGTTATGGTTCCCCGTTATAATGCCTTTCTTTGTTACTCTGGGTCTCTCTTACGCCTCTGTTTTACTGGCTTGTTTTTTGTTATTGCCTTCTTCGTAGCGTGTTGTTTGGCCAAGTGGTGTAGTCACGTTGGGTTATCATATCATGATTATCTTGGCTTGTCTTGTTTATTGATTTTTGACACCCCTTGTTTTTTGCTTCGAAGGTTGGAGTATTTGTGTTAATGGTTAATGCTCTCATTTTGTGTGTGTGTGTGTGTGTGTGTGTGTGTGTGTGAGAGAGAGAGATTCCACAAAACACTTTCCCTTTCTTTACTCACACGAGAGACGGGGACACAAAAAATGTTAGCTTCTCTAAAGTCGGGAACAAGTAGTTGAAATTCCGACATACCTCACTACGTTCCCCGACCAACAAAGCGACAACCCACAAGAACTTCACAGAGAACTGGCGACCCACTCGACCCTCCTCGGCCCCCACTCGACCTGCTCGGCCCCCCAACCCCACGACCCGATCGGCCCATTCGACCCGGGGATCGTTCTCTGCCGCTACTGGAACGTTAATCGCTCAACTACCAGAGCTGTGCAGACGAGGAGTCACAACACCGTGGCAGGAGAGTTGATGTCCAACCCTCAACTAAAAATGAAAAATCGACGACGTCCCGGTCCGTGATCAAGTCATTATCACTACCTGATAATGGTCCAGAATGGACCGAAACCTCGCCGTTTCGGTCCGTTCCGGCCAGAACGGACCTCGCCACTGTCACTTGTGGCTAATCTTACACCTTGAACCACTGTAAGATTAATGAACACATGTCTTAAGAAGTGAGGTTCAGGAGGTACATTATCGACACAGTTTCAAGATATCACGAAGGCTAATATGGTCAGGAACCTGTACACCATTAGATGGAAGTGTGAGAGGCGAGACCAATGAGCCAAAGCTCGACCCGCCCTCTTCCCTCCGTAAATACATTTAGGCGAGGACACATACACGCCCTAAACCAAAGTTACACACCAGCACCACCACCACTGATACCCCAGGATCCCCCCCACCAACACCCCCCATCGCCCGAACACCACCATCCTAGCACCATCGCCTCCTCCCCAGCACCTCCACCTCCCCCAGGACCCCCATTCCCCCCTCCCCTAGCACCACCGCCATCAGTGACCTTCTCAGTCGATCAGAACTAAAGTTTAGTGACTCGGTCAAGATAACGACGCTAATCTTCGCTCTCGTTTGGCCGAGGAGCCTGGTGGTGAAGGAGTTGGGGGGAGTGGAGATGAATCTATGAGCAGGGCGGCAGCTCAACACGCATTCGCTCTTCATATGTTTCATCAAGGCACTCTGTTGTCAGGGAACTAGGCACTCTGCGTCGAAACATTAAACTTGCTGGTGGAGCATCATCATCCTGGCACTCAGTCGCCCATGGCACCATCACCGTGGCACTCTTGTGTCGTGGCAGACTGCCCAGAGACCATGGTTGACCTGGGTGGCGACGACACGTCGCTTGTACCGGCCAGGACATTCACTGCTAGCATTGAGGCACATTCGTATGTAGATTGAAATGTGAAAGTGTACCATTGTGTGAAAGTGTATGTAGATTGCAACCATTCTTCTACGAGACTGGTACATCTAGGAAATTCAGCTTACTTTTATTCTCCTTCTCGTAAGTTAAACTAAGTATGGTACTTCGTTTGAGTGTTTCCTTAAGCTGTAGTCAGCGTTCCATGTCAGGCAACTGCTGGAAGATTTTATCAATGTATTTACAGCGGAAGAGAACATCATTTAGTTAAAAAACAGGAAGGTCGCCAACTTGCTCCCTAAGAACTAACCTTCCGTTCACCTCCCAAATGCAACGACTTGAAAAAAAGAGGCGAATGATGTCTGCGCTTCTACATGCTCACTTGGGGATTGTCTTCCACAGTGATCTCAATATACGGGTAAGACAACAACATCTCTCTCAAGGCGCTTGAAAATTCACAATCAACAAGGCTCAATCAAAGATTACATCGTGTCAACAAGTAACCAGATTAACACCCGAGATATTCCGAACAAAAACACCGAAATAATCGACAGATACAAAAATAGTAGATTAGTCATAGCCAAAGCACTACATACCAAACACTCGTCGAATTATCAACAGTCAGGTTACACTTTGGTGCATTATATATATATATATATATATATATATATATATATATATATATATATATATATATATATATATAGAAAAACCTGGCTCAACATTATTATTTTTATTGAAGTTACAGGACGCTCCTGTTCTAGATGAGTCCACTACGGGCTCACCATAGCCCGTGCTACTTGGAACTTTTGGTTCCCAGTAGCTGAATCTATAACAATAACAACACCCTGGCTCAATCTATTTACTTCCCTTGTCTCTTTAGATTTTAAAACAGCTTCAGTGACAGTTGTCCTTCCTTATAGTAATGTACAAGAAACTTTCCTCAGAACTAATTTTTTAACTCCATAATGAAGAAGAGATTATATATTTATGTATATTAGGCTGGAATCGAACCAAGGACCAAGGTCGACCTACTAACCTTCACCCAGGATGCAACCCCTACAATAGTTGCCTAACTCCCTGGTGCCTATTTACTGATAGGTAAACAGAGGCATTAGGTGAAAGAACAAGTATCCAACCACTTCTGTTTCACTTTGTATTTACAAAACGACTTAATTTTTTTCCATTTACATTTCTAGAAATTAAAAGAAAATTATTGATTATCAAATGTATTGACAATTAATCTAACTTGCACTCTATATAATAATTCCATTTATTTACCGAGTTGATTAACATTTCTAAAAAATTTAGATTAACAAATTCTAAAAAATTTAGATTAACAAATTCTAAAAAAATTTCTTGTTTACAAACTGTGGCAACAGCTATTTAATTCCCTAAGTGGCAACAGCCAGCGAGGGCGGGTCGGGCAGCAGGCGGTCAGTGTCTCGCTAGACGTCGTGGTGTGAGGGTGTCACTTACGCGCACCCTGCTCTCGCCTTCCCTGTACACGCTCTGAGATCAAAATAACACGATTTGATAGACACTACTTATGAGTTGATTAACTCGCTTTTTCGAAATAATAATGACCAAAACATGTGACCGTCTAATAAGATTTTTATCAATTGAAAAGGTGCTGAAAATTGACAGAGCTTGCTAATTATCTACCTAAATAAATAAGAAAAATACAACAAAAATGGATATAACTTAAGGATATTTTACGTGAAAAAACTGGTAAATATATTTAAAGAAAATAACAAATAGACCTAAAAAGATAACAATATATCCAACCATTAAGACAATGGCAAGAAAAGCCAAGAAACTGAGGAGAAGACACAGAAATTGCGGTAAAGGGATACATTAACGTACTCATATCCCCCACCCCCCAACCCCAACCCCTTCAGGAGAGAGCGGACGCACCGCACGCGACCGCAGCTTGCGCCAGACTGACCCCACCCCCATCGCGCCGTCACAGAAAACGGGATCATGAGGAAGAAAATGGGCGGTGGGTTGGTTCTGGTCGTCCTGGCTGTGTGGTTACGCCCTTGTGGTGAGTGTGTGTGTTAGCGGGGGGGGGTGTTTGTTTACATTTACCAGGGGTGTGGTTGTTCATACCGGTGGTGGTGGAGGGGGGGGGGGTGGTAATCGCCGATGTGTGTCACGGCAGCTTATACAACACCGGTGTCAGGTGTGTCGACACCACTGGTGACACGAAGACACCACTGGTGACACTAGTACACCAGTGGTGACACACAACCACCACTGGTGATTCACAACCACCACTGGTGATTCACAACCACCACTGGTGATTCACAACCACCACTGGTGACACTAACCACCACAGGTAACACACTAACCACCACAGGTAACACACTAACCACCACTGGTAACACACTAACCACCACAGGTAACACACTAACCACCACAGGTAACACACTAACCACCACAGGTAACACACTAACCACCACAGGTAACACACTAACCACCACAGGTAACACACTAACCACCACAGGTAACACACTAACCACCACAGGTAACACACCACCACCACAGGTAACACACTAACCACCACAGGTGACACACTAACCACCACAGGTGACACACTAACCACCACAGGTAACACACTAACCACCACAGGTGACACACTAACCACCACAGGTAACACACTAACCAACACAGGTAACACACTAACCAACACAGGTAACACACCACCACAGGTAACACACTAACCAACACAGGTAACACACTAACCACCACAGGTAACACACCACCACAGGTAACACACTAACCAACACAGGTAACACACCACCACAGGTAACACACTAACCAACACAGGTGACAGTCCAAACACCATTCTGCCCAGAGAACATAAATTCGCCTGAAAATGGTGTTTATTTCAGCAAGAACAGAAACTACACAAGACCAAATAAGAAATGGAAGATAAAGGAGAAAATAAAGAAGAGCGAGAGTAAGAAGAGAAACTAAGAAGAGAGAAACTAAGGAGAGAACTCTTAATAAAGAGCACCACACTTGACACTGCTCGCCCCCCTCCCTGTGACCTTACCGGCTCCATCTCACTATTTGCACAAATCAAGACAGAAAATGAAAAGTTTTGCACAAATAAATGTCAATATGGAAAACGCAATTGGGTTGCAAATGTGAGGAGGGCAGGGGGGGGAGGGTAGGGGAGGGGGCATGGGGGGCAGGGGGCAGAAGGAGAAAAGAAGGGCAGGATGATTGGGGGGGGGGCGGGACTGGTGTTTAGAATGGGATTAAAATTATGTTGACTTTTGCACTTCAAAGCGACCCCCAGGTCATCTGAGGTCACCAGGAAGCAGTAATGATGTCAGCATTGTTAGCTAGGTCATCCGAGGTTAGTCAGGAGCAGCAACAATGTAAACACAGCAGGTCAGGTCATGTAAGGTCACCATGGAGTAATAACGATTGAACACTAAACGATAACATATAATACCATAGGGAACCATATCTCCACATACCCTTCACTTTACATCATTTCATTAGAAAACAATAAACATATAAAAACTTCAGTTTAGAAAACCTGGGGCTGTAATGGTTTACATTAAACACTTTACGGAGTTGAAAACCACAACCCCCCCCCAGGTTATTATTGTTATTAACAACGTGGTTGTACTTCGGAACTCATAAACGGTTTGATAAATGCCATGATTGAGGGTCAGATGTACAAGTTTCGCAAAGGGTTGAGTAAATGCCTCATGAATGTGGATAATTTTTGACTGCCTCGTGTCAATCGAGGCAATGGGGGGGGGGGGCGGGGTCAACGCAGGTTGATCTGAAGTGGAATTAAATAAGTTCGTTTGTGGTTAGTCATAGAAGCGATAACCCCAGGTCATGTGACCTCAGATGACCTATAATATAGGTCATCTGAGGTCACTTCGGAAGCGGGGTGGTAATCAGAGGGGTCACCTTGAACTTCGAACACGAACAACACACACACACACACACACACACAGACACACAGACACAGACACACAGACACACAGACACACAGACACACAGACACACAGACACACACACACACACACACACACACACACACACACACACACACACACAACCCCTCTATGCCCTCCCTAATCTTCAGACCCAGTATGCCCTTCCTACTCCAGACCTACCTACCCAGGCCCTACCCCAGACCCTCCTACCTACCTTCCTAGAAGCCCAGCCCCCAGTAGCCCCCAAGCACCCCTCCTGAACTCTTTCACCCCCCATACACCCCCCGGACCCCCCCAGACACCCCCTGGATCCCCCCGGACATCCCCCGGACCCTCCCCGCCCCAGTCATCTCCCAGACACCCCCCAGATCCCCCAGATCCCCTCTGCCCCCAGTCACCCCCCAGACATCCCCCAGATCCCCCAGACCCCCAGAGAAAGGGAGAACTCTGGTACAAGAGTTTCCATGAAGAATCTCAAGGTTTGGTACACCAATGCTGATGGGGTATCTAATAAAGCAGAAGAGATAAAAGAAAGAGTGAGTGAAGCAGATCCTGACATAGTTGCAATTGTGGAAACTAAAATTAATGACATGATCTCAGATGCAATCTTTCCTGAAGGGTACCAGGTGATACGAAAAGAGAGGACACAGAGACAGGGAGGGGGAGTAGCACTCCTAATAAAGCGGAAATGGAAGTTTGAAGACCTGGGAAATCGAGTTACCAATGAGTGCACAAGCTTCATACATGGAACTCTGACAGTAGATGGGAGGAAGATTGTGATCTTGGTAATCTACAATCCCCCACCAAACAGTAGAAGACCCAGGCAGGAGTATGATGACAACAACAAAGCATGTATAGATGAACTGCAGAAGGCAGCAACACTAGCCCACAGAATGAGAGCGAAGCTGCTGATCATGGGGGACCTAAATCATGGAGAGATAAATTGGGAATCAAGGAATCCCCATGGAGGGGATGAAACGTGGGGAGCAAAATTAGTAGATGTTATAGACAGGAATTTCCTGACACAACATGTGAAGGAAGACACAAGGGAAAGAGGAGGAGATGCACCGAGCCTATTAGACCTGATTTTCACCCAGAACGTAGAAGATATCGAGAATTTAGAGCATGAAATACCTCTAGGGGCCAGTGACCATTGTGTCCTAGTCTTTGACTACATGATGGAATTCAAAATTATGACCATGGGACAAGAGATCTGGGAAAGGAGAGCTGACTACAGGAAAGGGGACTATATGAGGATAAGGGACTATCTGGGTGAAGTGCAGTGGGAGGAAGAAATTAGAGGAAAAACAGTCCAAGATATGATGGACCTAGTCATACAGAAATGCCAGGAGGCCGAAGAGAGATTTATACCAACGGTAAAGGGAAAAAATAAGAAGGAATATAATAACCCATGGTTTAATAGACAGTGTCAGGAAGCAAAAATGGCCAGCAGGCGGGAGTGGAGGAAGTACAGAAGACAAAGAACAGAGGACAACAGAAGCAGATACAACAGAGCTAGGAACGATTACATTAACATAAGACGAACATCGGAAAGGGACTATGAGAACGATATTGCAATCAAAGCGAAAAAACAACCTAAGTTACTACACAGTCATATAAGAAGAAAAATGTCGGTGAACGACCAAGTGACAAGACTAAGGAAGACAGAGGGGGCATATACTGAAAGTGACAAGGAAATCTGCGAGGCACTGAATGCCAGTTTCCATGGAGTGTTCACTACCGAGCCTGAGCAGCTCCCATTGTTGGAAGGGGTTACCCTAGATGAAGGACTATCAGATATAGAGGTGACAGCAGAGGAGGTAATGAAACAGTTGACAACTCTAAATGCAACTAAAGCAGTTGGACCAGACAAAGTATCACCGTGGATACTAAAAGAAGCAGCACAGGCCCTCAGCGTGCCTCTGGCAATGATCTTTAATGAGTCACTTATGTCAGGAGAATTGCCCAGTTGCTGGAAGAAGGCAAATGTCGTGCCGATCTTCAAGAAAGGAGATAGGGAGGAGGCACTTAACTACAGACCTGTATCACTGACAAGCATCCCCTGTAAAATACTGGAAAGAATAATTAGGCTACGACTGGTTGCACACCTGGAGAACATTAGGTTTGTGAACAAACATCAACATGGGTTCTGGACAGGGAAATCGTGCCTAACAAACCTTCTGGAATTCTATGATAAAATAACGAGGATAAGACAGGACAGAGATGGTTGGGCAGACTGCATATTTCTGGACTGCCAAAAAGCCTTTGATACAGTACCGCACATGAGACTGCTGTTCAAGCTCGAGAGGCAGGCGGGGGTGGGGGGAAAGGTCCTAGAATGGATAAGGAACTACCTAACAGGAAGGAGCCAAAGAGTTACGGTAAGGGGCGAGAAGTCGGACTGGCGAACAGTAACAAGTGGAGTACCACAAGGATCGGTGCTGGGACCAATTCTATTTCTTGTATATGTTAACGACATGTTTACAGGCGTAGAGTCCTACATGTCGATGTTTGCGGATGATGCAAAGTTGATGAGAAGAGTTGTGACAGATGAGGATTGCAGGATCCTCCAAGAGGACCTGAACAGATTGCAGAGATGGTCAGAGAAATGGCTACTAGAATTCAACACGAGCAAATGTAAAGTTATGGAAATGGGACTAGGAGATAGGAGACCAAAGGGACAGTACACAATGAAGGGGAACAGCCTACCTGTAACGACGCGTGAAAGAGACCTGGGGGTGGACGTAACACCTAATCTATCTCCTGAGGCACATATTAATAGGATAACGACAGCAGCGTACTCTACACTGGCAAAAGTTAGAACATCATTCAGAAACCTAAGTAAGGAGGCATTTAGGGCGCTTTACACTGCCTACGTAAGGCCAGTCTTAGAGTATGCCGCCTCATCATGGAGTCCCCATCTGAAGAAGCATATAATGAAACTGGAAAAGGTTCAGAGGTTTGCAACGAGACTCGTCCCAGAGCTACGAGGGATGGGGTATGAAGAGCGCCTGAGGGAACTGTGCCTTACGACACTAGAAAGAAGAAGGGAGAGGGGGGACATGATAGGAACGTA